CCATGACTTCCTGTGCCCGTTCAAATATAGGCGCCTTTACCCATTGAATCTTCAGAGTTCAAGCTGGAAAATGAGTGGAAAGCACGTAATGGTTGAAGAAAGCCAGCTTTCTTTGAAGCGCAGTCGTGCAGGCGCAGAAGACCAAGTCAACGATCCACCTGCGGTCAAGAAGGTCGTCGTTGGATATTCCGACTCGGAGGGAGAGGACGGTGAGCACCCCGATGAGGTTGGTGACGGCACCATATCCTTTCTATCTTGTGTTTTAGATCATGCTCGATGGATACGCTGATCCATTTCCATGGGTCGAGCCCGATCGTTGGAACACCAAGCCGAAGTTGGAACAGCACAGATTTGATGAACTTTCTCGTCAAGTTTGGCGTTACGCCTGAGCCGTGTCTACAACGAGCGCGGCATGGAATACGTGATGATCAGTATGCATGCAAAAGCCGATCCGGGACGCCGTCGAAGGTTCCTCAAGCGTCTCTGCGACTTTGCCTTGGAGGTTCGAAGCCGTACTACTCTTTAGGTGTTCGCTTTGGGCGTCTTCCATGCCCGGCAAGGATAGGGTGCGCATTTTATTGATGTAGACGTCGACACGCGCATTTACTTATCGTCATATCGACCTCTGAACATTTACGACGTCTTGACATTGCTGCGCTACGAAGCGAAGATGATGTTAACACCGAGCTGGGCCACGTGTTTTCAATCGTACCTACTTGGCGAACAGGAAATGTACGAGATGTTGAACCTGTACAAGGAATGTCGACAACGAGGTCCCTACACTTATTTTGGTAATTTTGTAGGATGATTTCAACAGGATATCACCCTCTTTGGGTGTCGACTATCTGGAGCTTGACACCCATGCGCTGGAGACGTACAAACGCCTCATCCTTAGGCGCCTCGTGGGTTCGTGCCGGCTGCTTTTTGCGCTAGCATTAATCCACATCCCTACCGGACTCATCTGCGATATTTCGTTAATTTGAGTTGAGAAGCGACGCAAAATTGGTAAATCTTTGGTGCCGTTTCAAAATCAATGATATAGACCTCAAGCTCGAAGAAGAGAAACAGTGGTTTCATCATCGGTTCGCCGCCAAGAAATGTACGCACAACTACGCAGACTTCGTCAACGTGCCAACAAAATCGGTTCCGGCATCCGCAACAAGTCTACGTCAAAGCGGAAACCGTCGGAAAGACGCTGAATAGCCTAGAGTACGTTGGTGTTCTGCTGCTTTCCTCGTATGATCATATTTCGTAGGGTTGCCGAAGAGGCGTTGCTGCTGACCAAAAACCGATCATGGAGAATTCCGTTGGCGAGAGGTGCGTGTTGCTGGGATCGATGCTGCTGGCGGAAGGATCTTCGAGTACTGGACGTCAAGCGGCAATGCGTTCGATGACGTCGGCCTATGGCACAAGCTGGAAGCGCGTCACCTGGCCATCGAAAAATGTGAACATTCCGATCTTTATGTGTTTCCCTCTCACGTCCTACCTTAGACGTGGATCTGTATGTGACTATTTGGCTGTCTCCCAACGCACCGCACCTATTTATTTTTGCCTGTTATTTTTAAACCACTTTTCTGTTTATTCGTTCTTTGCCATCTCCGCATGCTGGCCCTTCTAATAAATTTATTGGAACGATTGTTTCAAGCTAAGTCCCGCATATACAGAAAGTGTAAAGCCCAGAGTAGCAGAAGAAGCTAATGCGTTAGAGTTAGATAAAAAATTCATGATCGAATGACAGCTTGGGCTTGAAGTCGCCATACAGAGTCCTGACTCACCGCTAGGATGATGTCACCCCGTCCCTGATCCATCCCGAGACGCCGCCATACAGAGGCCTGATTCACCGGAAGCGATCTCATTCCCGTACCTGATTCATCCCAAAGACACCGCCACACAGAGGCCTGATTCACCGGAAAGACGATGTCACCCCGTACCTGATTCATCCCAAAGACGCCGCCATACAGAGGCCAGATTCACCGGAAGGTGATCCTCACCCCGTACCTGATTCATCCCCGAGACGCCGCCATACAGAGACCTGATTCACCGGAAGGTTATCTCCTCCCGTATCTGATTCATCCCAAAGACGCCGCCTACAGGGCCTGATTCACCGGACGACGATGTCCCGCCTGATTCATCCCAGACGCCGCCTACAGAGACCTGATTCACCGGAACGATGTCACCCGTACCTGATTCATCCCGACGGCGCCGCCATACAGGGACCTGATTCACCGGAAGCTGATCTCACCCCGTACCTGATTCATCGCCGAGACGCCGCCATACAGAGGCCTGATTCACCGGACGGTGATGTCCCTCCGGTACCCGATTCATCCTAAAGACGCCGCCATACAGGGGACTGGATTCACCGGGAAGGTGATCTCACCCCGTACCTGATTCATCCCCGAGACGCCGCCAAATGGAGGCCTGATTCACCGGAAGGCGATGTCATCCCCTTACCTGATTCATCCCAAAGACGCCGCCATACAGAGACCTGATTCACCGGAAGGTGATCTCATCCCGTACCTGATTCATCCCAAAGACGCCGCCATACAGAGGCCTGATTCACCGGAACGACGATGTCACCCCGTACCTGATTCATCCCGGGACGCCGCCTTTCAGAGGCCGGATTCACCGGAAGGTGACCCTCATCCCGTACCTGATTCATCCCCGAGACGCCGCCATACAGAGGCCTGATTCACCGGAACGGCGATCTCACCCCGTACCTGATTCATCCCAAAGACGCCGCCATACAGAGGCCTGATTCACCGGAAGGCAGTCTCACCCCGTACCTGATTCATCCCAAAGACGCCGCCATACAGAGGCCTGATTCACCGGAAGGTGATCTCACCCCGTACCTGATTCATCCCAAAGACGCCGCCATACAGGGCCTGATTCACCGGAACGATGTAATCTTATCCCATACCTGATTCATCCCGAAGACGCCGCCATCCTGAGGCCTGATTCACCGGAACGACGATGACACCCCGTACCTGATTCATGGCACGAGACGCCGCCCCACAGAGGCCTGATTCGACGGGAAGGGGGATGTCACCCCATTACCTGATTCATCGCCGAGACGCCGCCATGCAGAGGCCTGATTCACCGGAAGGTGATCTCACCCCGTACCTGATTCATCGCCGAGACGCCGCCATACAGAGGCCTGATTCACCGGAAGGGGATCTCATCCCGTACCTGATTCATCGCCGAGACGCCGCCATACAGAGGCCTGATTCACCGGAAGGATGATGTCACCCCGTACCTGATTCATCGCCGAGACGCCGCCATACAGAGGCCTGACTCACCGGAAGGACGATCTCATCCCTTACCCGATTCATCGCCGGGACGCCGCCATACGGGGGCCCGAGTTCACCGGAAGGTGATCTCATCTCGTATACCTGATTCGTCCCAGAGACGCCGCCATACAGATGCCTGATTCCCCGGAAGGTGATCTCATCCCGTACCCGATTCTCGCCGAGACGCCGCCATACAGGGGCCTGACTCACCGGAAAGCCGATGTCACCCCGTACCTGATTCATCCCAAAGACTCCGCCATGCAGAAGCCTGACTCACCGGAAGGATGATGCCCCGTACCTGATTCATCCCGAAGACTCCGCCATACAGAGGCCTGATTCACCGGAAGGTGATCTCACCCCGTACCTGATTCATCCCGAAGACGCCGCCATACAGAGGCCTGATTCACCGGAAGGTGATCTCACCCAAATACCTGATTCTGCTCCCAGAGACGCCCGCCATACAGAGCCTGATTCACCGGAAGGCCTTCTCACCCCATTACCTGATTCATCCCAAAGACGCCGCCATACAGAAACCTGACTATCGGTATGTATCGAACCCCGCAATGAACATTTAACCCCATTAAGCCTAAGCCTAAGCCTAAGCCCTAAGCCTAAGCCCTAGCCTAGCCTGAAAGCCTAAGCCCTAAGCCTAAGCCTAAGCCTAAGCCTAAGCCTAAGCCTAAACCTAAGCCTAAGCCTAAGCCTAAGCTTCTACTAAGCCCACAAGCACAAGCAACCTTAGCCTAAGCCTAAGCCTAAGCCTAAGCTAGCCCAAGCCTAAGCCTAAGCTAAACTAAGCTAAGCTAGAAAGCCTAAGCACAAATAGCCTAAACTAAGCCTAAGCTAAACTAAGCCTAAGCTTCTAAGCTATAGCCTAAGCACCAAGCCTCACCCAAGCCTAAGCCTAAGCCTAAGCCTAAGCCTAAGCCTAAGCCTAAGCCTAAGCCTAAGCCTAAGCCCTAGCCTAAGCCTAAGCTAGCCTAAGCCTAAGACCTCAAAGCCTAGCCTAGCCTAAGCCTAAGCCTAAGCCTAAGCCTAGCACAAGCCTAAGCCTAGCTAAGCTAAGCTAAGCTAAGCCTAAACTAAGCTAAGCTAAGCCTAAGCCTAAGCCTAAGCTAAGCCTAAGCTAAGCCTAAGCTAACTATAGCTACAAGCTAAGCCTAAGCCTCCCGCCTAAGCCTAAGCCTAAGCCTAAGCCTAAGCCTAAGCCTAAGCCTAAGCCTAAGCCTAAGCCTAAGCCCTAAGCTAAGCTAAGCTAAGCCTAAATAATACTTCTAAGCTACAAAGCCTAAGCCTAAGCCTAAGCCTAAGCTTCTAAGCCTAAGCCTAAGCTAAGCCCTAGAAAACTAAGCCTAAGCCTAAGCCTAAGCCTAAGCTAAGCCTAAAGCCTAATACAACCTAAGCAACATACCAGTCCGGGGCTCGTCACAAGCCTCATTACAAGCTAAGCTAAGCTAAATACAAGCCTAAGCACAAGCACAAGCTAAGCCTAAGCCCACAAGCTAAGCCTAAGCTAGCCTAAGCCTAAAAGCTAAGCCTAAGCCTAAGCCTAAGCCCTAAGCCTAAGCCTAAGCCTAAGCTAAGCCTAAGCCTAAGCCTAAGCCTAAATAAGCCTAAGCCTAAGCCTAAACTAAGCCTAAGCTAAACTGAGGGTCAATCGTTGGCCTACTCCAGTGGAGAAGCTTTAGAACCCCCTCCCACACCAGTGGGCCAGGTGGGGGCAGGTGCGAAGCAAGCAGTGAAGTCCGCCCTGCGATTCCGCTGCAATGGCGTCCGGAATGCCGAAACGCCCGGTGGCTCGAGGTTGAGGATTAGGGGTCTTCGAGCTGCGGTTGCGCCAGGAGCGATGTGACGGCCGAGCCAGTTAACAGCCCGGAATCAGCGTTTCAAAGCGCTTCGAATGGTCTGCTTGCATTGATCCGGAAGCGCGCGGCCCGTTTTGAAAAAATCATGGCTACTCCCCCTTTAGTCGTAAAGCCATCAAGAGCAAAGTTTCAAAAATCGTAGCAATTAAACCAGGGCCTCGGGGCTTCAGAAGTAACTGTTTTTTCGGTACTATT